AAGAACCTCACTTCTTCAGATGCAAGTAAGATGACTTCAGATGAAGAAGTGAGGTTCTTACCCAGGAAAGCTTATGCTCCCAATACTTCTGTTAGTCTCAAAGGTGCCACAGGACCCTCTGTTGCTTTTTACAGATTCAGACTAACACGGCTACCCCTCTGATACTTGACATCTTTCATCTGATTGCTAACTTCACAGCACCACCATAGAGTTTTACACCATGATTATGCATAGAGCCTCATTTGGAAGTACTGAAACCGATGTGAGACAGTCACCTATATTCCTTTAAAAATCTTGCCCTAAGTTTCCAAGCCAATTTTTGACCACTTCCCCTGTTTTTAAAAATGCATGCAAAAGACCCACACAAACATCAGGGGAAACTGTCTATAAATTGTACAGGTAGTGAAAGAAGCCATTCAGAATGTGCTATCAAATGCACAGAGTAAACAAACTGAAAAAATAGAGGCCCTTTTTGTCTAGTCTTTATCAATTACAGTAACACTGAGTGTTACTTTTAATAACAGTAAATAAATAAGGCCCCCATTCTCCAGTTGACCCTCCACAAGAGGGCTGCAGAACCCACACAGAGCCTCACCAAAGTCCAAGTACACACCACTCTGTGCAACACATTGCAGAATTAGGGTGCAAAATTTCAGACAGAAACATGATTTTTAAATAACAAAGTCCTTTTTGCTTCCATAATAAATACTAAAGCTTTTAAAAGACCATTTTAATCTACCCATCTTGGATACTGCCTTTAAATTGTGGGGGTTTTTTAAGTACACAACAAATAACCTGTGTAATTTCAGAAAGGAATTCAAAATACCAGGCGGTATTATTTCTTGTAGTTCACAACAGTAAGCTTTGGAAAGAAAAGATTCTTCACACTTAATTTTATCACTGTGAAAGACTGGACCTGCCAGATTTACCCACTGAAATCAATGGAGTTACACCAGAGATGTTTGACAAACTAGAATGCTGAAAAGAAGGTTTACTTCTGTCTTACTATCCTCAGGAATTAACTTTTTATTTCTCTGCAGTTTTCCTAGTGGAATCTCCACTTATAAAAGTCGTAAACCTATTGTTCTAGGAGACTGTAGCAAAGCTTAAACTAGATCTCTGGAGTTTGGTACAATCTGTTTTATGCAGACAGTGTAAAGGAAATTTTAAATGTATTATTTAAAGGCACATTAATCTTGCCACTGTAATGGTGTAATAATATATACCAGAGAAGGTTTGCATAAACTAAACTTCTAAAAGAAACATAACCGTTTTTGTTCTCTAAGTCAGTTCTTTGTAGAACTAGCAGTTACGCATATATTTTTCTCTCTCAAAATGTAGTCATATCCCATATTCACTCATGAAATTACTAAACCTTAACCTCCACACATACAACAAAAGGATATCTCCCAGCAGCCTGGGGAAAATCAGACCCACCTCTACCTCCGGGAACTCCTGCAGCTCCCCAGCTTTGAAGGCAGCACAGAAGTGACTGTGGCAAACCTGTGAACCTCCTATAACAGCTTTGAAACCCCACCCCACCGCAAACCACTTTTTAGGTTGGGACCTTCACAATTACAACAGTATGAAAATTGCAGATGTAAACATCTGAAAATGTGAAATTGACTAAATTTTGAATTCTATAGCCATGAAATTGATCAGACTGGACTGTGAATTTGGTAGGGCCCTATGTATGAGACAGTTTGGGTTCACAGTGCATGTCTTTCACTCAGAATGATTATCATTTGTTGAGTTTGAAAATGTACTTTATCTTGGCCTTTCTTGTATTTCCTCTCATATTCTAAATGGCAGCTGAAGGCAAGCAGAAATACTAAGTAATTGATTTAACAACCTAAGACAAGTACAAGAAAAGAGAAAAGTTTGTCTCAATGCATGACTTGACCTGAGAGAGCTTCTTTAGACTTATTTTCTAAACAGTACCTCAGCACCTTGGGCCAACAAAGTGGCCTTTAAGCCTGAATGAGCATGACTTTTTTTTTCCAGTGCAAAGCACCAGTATTTCATCTTTTCAAACTGTTTTACAGCACTCAGAGCAGAATTATATTGACAAGGTTAGAATTCATCTCCTGGAGGAGAATACTGTGCTACTGTTAAGTGCTAATATAACATTTATGTGTTGGTACCTTAATAACAGCCCCAGCTTACCTAATGAAAGTACTGAAAGCAAACAGTACTCAGTGAGATTTTATTATGACTGAAGTGACTGCAATTTGAGACAAATTATCCCTATTTCTGGTCCCATATCAAAAACAGAGATGCTAAAGCAATTGCTATATGTTTGGTATGGAATTAGACTCCACTATCGTTAATCTAGAAGTAAGTGCATTTTTCATGTAAACAGCTCACGAGGGTCAAGCAGCAGAGACTTTTCTGTGGAAAAATGGTTGTCAATAACTTTGTGAGTGAATTTTGAAATAAAGTGCCTCTAACCTGTCATTATTCCTTCCTCTCGAAGTCGAGAGTGAGTGGATGAAAATTGAGCATGTGAATTGAAGGCAGGGTGAGTGTTATGGCCTTATCGACTTAGGTAAAATGACTGTTTTAACTTGTTATTATTTTTCCATTCATAGGTCAGGCAATGTACAGAATTACCAGTAGAGACTGTAGTATAAGCAAATTGGTATATAAAAAAGTTGTTATCAATAAACACAAAGGAGAAGAAAGTGTAAGCCACTAATATCAAGAGTACTTAATGTCTGATCTCTTAAAAAAAATGAAAAAAGCTATTGACCAGAGAGAAAATCTAAAACTTGTTTAAATAAAAATTCATATGCTCAGAAGACAGGTAAAAGTAATTTATTATTCCTTCAACACAATATTCCTTCAGGGGGATATATATATAATAAAATAAGATTTACTTTCATAAACAGATTTATTTTCATTTAACAGGTTTCATGAGTGAAATGTGTTTGGAACACATGCATACATAAGATGGTACTAATCATTTGGGCCCCAATTCAGGAAAGTAGTTAGGCACATGTGTGGAGAATTGGAAATATCTGTATTATTTTTTATAAATCTATTGTATGTCTTTGTGTGCTTGTTTATAATGGACTGCTTGCTGTGGAGTTAGATCAAAGGGGGTTGTTAAAGAAACCAATCAAGAAAAGTAGAACAATGGCCTAGATAAGGAGCATCTCAACAAGTTCTCCAACACAGCAACGTGGTGCATAGCCTTGAAGAGGTAGCTCCTGGGCCCCACCCTAGTGACATAGATGTTTTGCCAAGGATGAAAAGATAGAGATCTAAGGGACCCCAGACCTAGAAAAGGGAGCAAAGTTGAGTGAGTGGCCAGAGATTGCCCAGGGAGTGTCAACGAAAACTGACAGGCTAGGAAGGGAATAACCAGAGAGAGCATGTTGTAAGCAGTACATCTGTTTCTCCCAGCAGGGCTGAGGAGCATTTACTAAAGCTGGCACAGAAAGATTAAGGTATAAAAGCCATGTATATAGTAGGTCTTCTGTTGTTTTTCTCCTTTGCTCTACATACTTTGTACCTTTGGGGAATGAATAAATAATGCTTTGTTTTGAAGATGCTACTTTTGAGTCACTTTAATCAACTCCCTCATCCCCCATCCCTGGAGTGGAAGGGTTTACAGGTGTCAAATGCAGCTGGGCTTCTCATATTAATGCAGTTGAGAAACAAGGGAACTGCTGTTGAGTGATTGGGCTGCATGGTTCCACTCAGAGTGAGGTGCAGGAAGCCAGATTTGTCACCTGAGAAGTGCACGTCAGAGGGACTAAAAGGGGTCTGAGGCATATTTCACTCTGTAACTGTGACAATATATTTAACTTTAAGCACTTAAGCCCATGCTTAACTTTAAGGTTGTTGGAGGCTAAAGTATGCCATTCTGAGTTTCTGTTCAGGTTTTAAAATCCTAGAGCCTTATGTTGCTATCCTGAGGGAGCTGTGCTGTGAGAAGAAAAGGGATAGAAGGTGCAGGGCAATACCAGCGGGGCACTCTCTCCAGCAGTCAATCCCTGGATTAGTAAAAATTCAGAACAAAGTTCTATATGAAATGCTTAACTATTAGATTTAAAAGGGTGCACTTTCTCAAATTCCTCCCCTCATTCCCAGAGGAAACTTTAGTGAACATGCAGTGGTCTGCGGCCCTTTGTTCCCTTCCCAGAGTTGTTATCATGGTACAGTAAAATTTAGCTTGTAATTTTTGCAGGACTTGTAGAGAAAGTAAGAAGCTAAATATTATCCCAGTTCTTGTTTGCCATTATTAAATACAGCTCACAGGCACAGCAGTTGGCTTGCCAAGTAATGGGCTTTGGTGTAAGAATAATCTCAGACCTGCAGGGCAGTACAGGCTGAGCTTTGTCACTAGGGAGAGGCTCTCACCCTTTAGAAAGCTATGTTCAAGACAAGCTGCTTCTCAGAACAGCCTGTGTCATTGGTAACCGAATTTGTTTCAGGGAACATAAATATTGTGCTCATTTATTTCCATGGCCTCAGCAGCGCCATGTAACATTTCTTACATTCAAAGAAAATGACTGGACAAATGTCACATTACATCCTGTTTTACTGTTTGATTCCTGTCTATTGTATAAGAATAAGCATAAAGTTTGTTAAGATCAGTACTCCTCCTTTGAATGACAAAGACCTAGTAGGAGGAGAAGGTTAGGAAGATGAGCAGGTATTAGCTGTTAAACTCATAATTGCTTAAGATTACTTTCTTAGTAAGAAAGATTGCAGAACAAACCAAAGCATTCTTGAGAACAATACTGAAGTATTCATATAAACACAATGTGAATATATCATAGTATACACACTGTATTTATTTTAATATACATAACGGAATATGAGTCATTCCTTTCACTTTAACGTTTAATGTGTTTGCTATTTCTTTATAGCTTTGCCAGTTTTATAAATTAAATTCTCATGGTGCAGGTTCTGTGAGGGTATATAAAATTCTATTTCTTGTGTTTTTTCCATTCCTTGCTAATGCCCAGGATATTTTGTTTAATTTTTAGGCAGAAGATCCAGAGATGTACAGTGATCTAGCTGCAGTCTGTGGAACTCTAACTGTGGTCGTGGTTCCCCACCTACCCAGAGATGCACTCATTGAGTGGCATGTCACTGCAGTAGTGGATGATCCACCAAAAAGGAAAACTTTTGTGATGAAGATGTTGTCAGAGGGCTGCCAAATTGTATGTGAAGCTGTGGAGTCCAGTTCTGCATCTAGTGCATCTATCTCAATATGCCTAAGCTTAATTTCACCATCTGCTTCGTCAGTCGATTTAGATAGGACTCTTCATGATATGGTTGCTGTGTTTAGACAAGCTGTTGAGAAACTTTCAGAAGATTGCAGTGCAATTCCATTGTGTTTTAGAACTTTCTACAGGAAGGATAGTTTTGATGCTGGAACACTACAAGCAGGTAAGACTACTGTTGGGAGGAAGGGGAATATTTGTTTACCTATATCTAAAGCTTAGCTGGAAAAGCACCTGTGAAGAGTAGGCATGATTAGGGTATGAATGTTCCTTTTCTGACCACCAGCCATATTACCACTTAGCAAAAAAACATTAGCCTGGCAAGAAATCTGGCAGTCCAAATAGATGACAAAAACAAAAATGAGTCAGACTCTGGAAGGATGAATCTTCTGCCTAAAAGTCTTTGAACAGTTTAATTACCGAGCATTCGTATTGCTGATCATGTAGAGCATAGCTGGTAATTTCCAGATGCTAGCAGGCAAAAATTATTTAGAGCAGAAACAAGATTAAAATATAAAAACAATGAAAAAATGTCAGTTTCTCTAAGGTAGAGAATAGTGGTGAGTGCATGAGTGTCTTTAAATGTGGACTGGGTGTTTTGTCAGTCAGTGGCTTTAAAATAGACCTGTCTGAAGGGATGAATGACAGCTGAGCAAACAAATTTAGTATATTGTTTGAATCATTAATGTTTGTTGCAGAATTAGAACTCTCTAGAATTTCAATTCCCTTGCAAAGTAAAGAGAGCTCAAACCAATAATATTATAACTATAATTTATCTCCTATGTCATGATGTCTAGGGTCTGTGCTACGTTCAGTTAGAGAAAACAGTAAGGACGTGCAACTGCACAGAAAACTCTTTCATTTGACAGGCCTACAAAATGTTTAAAGACCTAATCCTGCTCTTATTGAAATCAACAAGAGCTTAGCCATTGACTTCAACAGAAGTATAGTAGAACCTCAAAGATATGAACACCAGAGTTACGGACTGACTGGTCACTCAGACACCATGTGAAACCGGAAGTAGACAGCAGCAGAGACAAAAAAATAAGCAAATACTGTACTGTGCCTGTACGGCATCTTAAAGGTAGGCACATCTGGGTTGCCTGTCCCCATCCCCATCCCCACCCCCACACATAGGGCAGCCACTTACAGCAAGATGCTGGGGCTGCCAGACCGAGACAGACAGAGCCAGGAGCAGGAGTCTGCACCACTTTCAAACCTTCCTCCCCCATCGGGAGGGCGGGAGACAGGCTGCTTTTACCACACACAGCCCCGGCCAGGAGAAGACAGGCTGTTCCCCCCACCCCGGGAAGGGGACATGCTGTTCTCTCTCTCTCTCTCTCTGGCACTGAGTAGGAAGTTTTGCTGCTGCTTAAACCTGACCTGGCATGTCAACTGCTGGATCTGGATTCCGAACTGTGCTTTGTTCAGAGTTATGAACATTTCAGAGTTACGGACAACCTCCATACTGTAGGATCAGGTCCTTAGTCTATATCCATCTCTTGTGCGCATGCACATATACACACAAAAAGGTATTTGTAAAACCACAACGGATCCATATTAATTAGCTGACATAAAAGCTAACCCTCAAAGATCCTACTTTTTTTTACTTAACCTGCAGCAGTTTTTGAAGGAAATTCAACTTGACATTGTTTAATAGATTTAAAATACAAGAATAGAAAGCGATAAAAAATGTGGCAGAAAATAAGCATGCTTAATCCAGGAAGCAAGAAATGAACATATAGCCTGACAGAATGTTGTTGTTCTACTATGCCTTGTTTGAGAGCTAAGAAGAAGCCTGATTAAAACATGTTCCTAGCATGCGATTTACATTATCCTTTTGCCTGCTTCCTCCCTGATGCTTCACAAGGCATATAATAATTACTTTGGAATAAAGTACATTTGCCTTATTTCAGTCTAGAATTGAGCAAAATGTATAAATAGATGGGATGGGGGGAAATGTGACTGTTTGGTATTTTATGTTATACTAATGGCATGGGTATAGAATGAGTCATCATAGTTTTTATTTATTCATTCATCCTGGGTTCCTTTTAAATCTCTCTAAGGCCCTAATGACCATCATCATTATCATCATTGGTAAGAAATGCATTCTTGTGAAAACGTAGTAGGCATTACATTTACAGCCAGCACTAAATTACCAGTAAAGAATTTAAAAGGAAACTTCACCCATGTTGCTTAACACTTCTGTTCAAAAAGTTCATATGGAGAGAAGAAGCACTGTGCAATGTATCTAAAAATAAAATTTCCAGTAAAGTGGCTACTGATGAGGCTACTCTTCCTGTTAGCTACCACTCTGACAGTACACTGTAGACCCCAGATACGAGAATTTTTAAACCAGTTTCCTTTCTGCTGTAATGAAGGATCAAAATCAGAAAAAAGGTCTTTAATACAGCATTAAGGCACAACAAGGGGTATGGTTAAGTGCTCCATTAAAATACATTCTGGGTGCATTGTGAAGAATAAGGCCTCCAGTGGAGTTGCTTCAACCTCTCAAGGGATGCAGTATACTAATGGACCACTAAAATACCCCCTTGAGTCTCTTCATGCTATTATTATATAGCTCATGAAATATAAATTAATATAAATTTTATATATTCCGACTGTCAGTTTTGAAACAATGTTTACAGTTTTTTAACTATATAATTCTGCATATCAAAGGGGTCAAACATGTAGGAAGAAAAAGAGTATGAAATCCTTTTCTTTCCTACTGTTTTCAAACCTTTTTTATTGTTTTCCCAACCTTTTTAGTAATAGAATCCAGAATATTGTTTTGATTCTATAATTCAATGACAATTTAGATTATTAGTTTTTGAGATTGTGCTGTTAAAATAATTGTCAAATTAGTTGAAGTCCTGTTGTTGATAGACATATACTAAATAAATAGGTTTTTACATAAAAATTCTTAGCTTAATAACCTGGTTATTAGGTTCTAGGAACTTTCCACTTATACTTTATTAGGGTCATACTTTGTTTTGATGTCACTAGAGTAATGGTAATGTGCTTTACAGGAAAGGCTTTTTTTCTGTAGTCCAAAGAGGAGTTCAACTTTTGCCTTTTATGCTGCCATATTTGGTGAAACTTAACCATAGGCTTTTTATAATTAGTAAAGCTAGCTTTTGTTGCTGACTCTGTGTTGTTGACTTTTTAATTTAAATGCTAGTCCACCATTTGAGATTAAAATACATAAGAGATTCAACTAGCGCCTTGCTAACTTACTATAGAAACACATTGCCTTTTACCTTTTTTGACTAAAAAATAGAACATTCTTCTTTGAGTAAGTATGTGTCATTGTGCATCCTATTGTAAGTGTGCATGAGCCTCAGTGCTCACAAGACTGGAAACTTTCAAGTAGTAGTGTCTGTTCACCTTGTGCCTCTTTATGCCCCCATGTGAGGGTATAAAGGACAGAGCAGCATGATGTTTCCTTGCAATTCGAAGACTGTGTCAGCGAGATGGAACCTGGTGAGTATCCAGCACATTAGTTCTTAGCTTTGGCTAAACCGTCTGCAAACTTTCTGATTTTCTTCAGAACTCCTTTGATTACCTTTATGTTCAACCTCAATCATCCTATTGACCCATTTTAACTGAGTATCAATGACTACACCCCCCTGTTGACACCCCCACCTCCTTAATGTGGCAGACTTGAAACCTGCAGGTTTAAAGCCCTGTCCATCCTGCAATGGACTAATCCCCTTCAAAGTGGGATTAGTTTGGGGGAATCACACATACCTAGCAGATGCTCAGTATGCCTGTCTGTCATTCTCTGTTAGAATGCGTAAGTTGAGAGACACAAGGCTGAAACTCCATCTTCTAGAACAATCCGTGAAGATCTCATCAGAGCCTGAGGAAACAATTCCAGAATCCTGTTAGTGGACAAGCCATCATTATCTAGCACCCCATCCAATAAATACACTACATCTGAGACCAATGCAGAAAAGATGGCGCTGAGAAAAGAACTGGCACTGCCACCCCTGGCACCGAAGCTGGCATCTACACCATCGATGTCAAAACAGACATCTCTGACATCAAAGGGCACACTGACAGATGTCACCTCAGTAGCCTCCCATAAGGAGAGACAACGCAAAGCCTTGGAGAAAAATCTACCAGTCCCACAAGGAATCAAGGGCTGGGGAGAAGGAACCACCTATGGTATTCAACACCGTGTTGACACCAGCCCTGGCTGTGGACTGCCTCCCACAGCATTGACACCAATCATGGAAGACAAGCTTAGGAGAGAATAGGAACACTCACTCATGCTAAAGTGCCTCCCGGTACCAGTACAGGCCCCATTATTGACAGTGCAATTCACATTGGTGCTACCCCTAAAAGAGGTCTGTTGCTCTTCACTGTCAGTGGGCTATAAGTTCTCCTCATCTTCAAGCACAAAACTTCTCCTTTCAGAGAGGCTTTCCAGATTCCCCTACTGGTATAAGCCACCACCAGCATGTCAAGACAGGCACTGAACTAGGTATTAAATTATCTGATGAGTTCACTTGTCAGCAGCATTGGCATGTCACACTCCAGTACAATTGTGCTTGATCTTCTCACGGCCAACATTATCAAAATTCCCTAGTGTCTTCCTTCATATTTGCCTTCTGGTTCAGGATCCAGCTCCCTCATGGGAACTCAGTTTTGTCCTCTATGGAGCCTCTCTTTGAACGACTATCACCATGTCTATGCACCACCTTATCATCACAAACTATCCTTTCTAGTAACCATCACTTCAGCTCTGAGAGTCAGTGAACTCCAGGCTCTCATGGCCGGAGTGTCTTACACAGTTTTTCATATGAACAACCTGGTGCCTGAGACTGCACCCCAGTTCAGCCCTAAGGAGTTTTCAGACTTTCATCCAAATCAATCCATTACCTTGCCAGACTTCTTCCTGAAGTTGCATTTGATGCCAGGAAGGAAGAAACTGCACACCCTGGATGTATCCAAAGCTTTACTGTGTTACCTTAATGAGCTATTTCAGCTGTCTCCTGGCCACTTTGTGGCCATTTCTGGCCTGTCAAAAGGCCAAACCATCTTTTCTCAGAAAATTTCCAGATGGACCATGGAGTGCATTTCCACTGTTATCAGCTGGCTGGCAAACCTCTCTCTTCAAACATTAAGGCACACTGCACCAGAGCACAGGCTGCATCTGTC